TGGGTGACCCAGTGAAAGGGTAGTTTGACCTCCCAAAGGGGTGGTGACCCACAGGTCGAGAACTGCTGTTTTAAAACTTTGGGGAGCATAAGAACAATTTTGTTTTTATTAAACTAATATCTGGACTCCACACAGAGAAGCAGATAGAATTAGGGTGGTATATGATAGTGGCTTTGGTGGTATTTCAGGTAAGCATTGGACTAACTGCAAGGTTATCAGTTCAAACCCACCAGTGCCTCTGATGGAAAATGTTGAGGGTATCTGCTCCCATAAAGATTTACAACCTCAGCCCACAAAGTGAGGTGTGAGTTAGATCCACATGGAAGAAGCACACCAGCCTGTGTGATCCAAGGATTGTAAATAATAAAATCCAAAAAGAGGGGAGGGAACTATATTAGAGCGTAAATTCTGAGCACTGTTTGAAGAAGGCTATGGATGTCAGGGAACTCCCCAAATCCATTTTCCAGGTCCCTAATGTGGGTGAAGCCTCCAGTGAACCCCTCTTCTTATGGACAAGGGCTGTCAATAGGCTTGCTATCAGAAAGAGTGCACTGGGAAATGGATTCACGTAGACGTAGTTAAAAGGTAGCACTTGATCATTTGATTTCCTTTTGACCCATTTTAACTTTGTTGTTGTCAGGTGCTGAGTTAGTTCCAATTCATAGTTGCCCTTTGTACAGCCACACAAAGCACTGCTCAGTGCTGCGCCAGCCTCACACTGGCTCTCACGGTGAGCCCACTGCGTCCATCCCTCTTGTTGAAGGCCTTCCTCTTTTTCGCGGCCCCTACAAACACAATGTCCCGGTCTCTCCTAACAACATGTCCAAATTTGTTGCAGTTTTTTTTTAACCTTCTGTTTTATTTTTCAAACTGATGACCTTTTGGATTGCAGGCCAATGCATAACCACTACACCACCAAGGCTCTTTCTGCTTTATTTCGATTGAGATTTTTCTCCGGATTTTGTTATTCTTGTTGGGTTTTTAAAAGTTGTTTTTATTTATTTATATAAGATCCAGGATAACAATATCTTTTGAGACGGTCTCTGGATTAATCATTTTTAGGCTTACGGTAAGGGAGTTGAGGAAAAATGCGGCACTAATAGTAATGAGCTCAAGAAAGAAGAAGTTATTCTAAAATTGGTTGTGGTGATGATTGTACAACTTTTTAATATGTCCAAGCACTTGAATTGTACAATATGTGCATTATGTGTCTATAAAACTGTTAAAATAATAGTACAAAAGGATGAGGGCTTGCATCTGGTGATTATGACTTGGAATGGACTGTGTTTGGTTTGCTCTTTTGGATGAGGTTGGCTGAGGGTTCCCTGGAGCAGGGGTGGGCACCCAAACTTTGACAAACAACAAGCTGCTACCAAAGCGGAGGTGGTTCATTTGGACTCTGTGTGTGTGCTACGTGGCTTAGTCCACATGGGAAGGGTGAAGATGTCCTCTGGGTTAGGGAGTCCCTCTAAGCATATCTGTTTGCTTCGGCCACTGACCTTCCTCCCAGCATATGTTCGGCCTTCCATAGTTGTCTTCTTTCCTTTTTCCTAATAAGGTTGTCGTTTAAATTACTTATAACTTTTTTCATTTGTAGGTATTGTCTTTGTTAAGGATTTCACTTCCAGTAAAGTTGCTTTTGAATGAAAATAAATTCAGATCTTGATAGCATAACGCTAACATCAAATATAGTAGACTCAGGTATAGATATAAGCTTTACTCATAGAGCAGGTGTGTATGCATACCATACATATGATGAAATAGGATGTTGCCTTATGTGGATATTGTGTGAGCACCATATTAAAACCTTATGGAAGCCTGCCTCTTGATGTCCTTGTGTCCACTGCTGGGGCTGCTGGCAGGTGCTGGAGGGGCTGAGTGTGGGAGAGGAGGTGGTGGGACTGGATGGAGAAGTGACAAATGTGAGAGGGAGCAGAATGAGCTCTGCCTTGCCCCACTGCTCTGTCCACCAGGCCTCATCTGCCGGCATCCCATCCATGGTCTAGGACTGTAAGAGTTTTCGTTTGGGGGACTTTAGAACCATCAGGTCTTAAAGGAATAATAAGCAAAAGGAATGCTGCTTTTCCTTAAAATAAAAAACAACAGTTCTGGAACTGTGGGCAGGTGAATATTGCACACGTGGACAGTAAGTGATACATACCTTAAGTGGTCACAATGACTGGCATGGAGGAAGTATGCAATACATTTATTGAGATGAGAATATTAAAGTACTGTTAATTTTCTTCCAATGACTCTTATTTTAAACACTCTAAAAAAATCACATATGTTGCTCTTCGTGGACAAACCATTGTAAGAAGTAGTATCATGGATTGTTGAAGACAAATGGGTGCATAATCAAATGTGGTGAAGAAAGCTGATGGAGCCCAGCTATCAAAAGATATAGTGACTGGGGTCTTAAAGGCTTGAAGGCAAACAAGCTTCCATCTAGCTCAGAAACATCAAAGCCCACATGGAACAAGCACGCCAGCCTGCATGATCATGAGGCATCGAAGGGATCAGGTATCAAGCATCAAAGAACAAAAAAATCATATCAGTGTGTGCTCACCTTCCTGATTTGATCGCTGAAGATAAAGGGATGTATAATCAAAAGTGGTGAACAAAGCTGATGGTAATGGCTATAAAAAGATATAGCATCTGGGGTCTTAAAGGCTTGAAGGTAAACAAGTGGCCATCTAGCTGAGAAACAACAAAGCCCACATAGAAGAAGCACACCAGCCTGCATGATCATGAGGCATCGAAGGGATCAGGTATCAAGCATCAAAGAACAAAAAATCATATCATTGTGAATGAGGAGGAGTGCAGATTGGGGACCCAAAGCCCATCTGTAGGCAACTGGACATCCCCTTTCAGAAGGGTCATGGCGAGGAGTCAAGCCAGTCAGGGTACAGTGTAGCAATGATGAAACATACAACTTTCCTCTAGTTTTTAAATGCTCACCCCCACACCCACCCCACTATCATGATCCCATTTCTACCTTACAAATCTAGCTAGACCAGAAGATGTACACTGGTACAGATAGGAACTGGAAATAAAGGGAATCCAGGACAGATGAATCCCTCAGGACCAGTGGTGAGTGTGGCAATACTGGGAAGGTAGAGGGAAGGTGGGGTGGAAAGTGGGAACTGATTACAAGGATCTACATATAACCTCCTTCCTGGGGAATGGACAACAGAAACGTGGGTGAAGGGAGACGTCAGACAGTGTAAGATATGACAAAAATATAATAATTTATAAATTACCAGGAGTTCATGAGCGAGGGGGCAGTGGGGAGGGAGGAGAAAAATGAGGAGCTGATACCAAGGGCTCAAGTAGAAAGCACATGTTTTGAGCATGATGATGGCAACAAATGTACAAATGTGCTTGACACAATGGATGTATGTATGGATTGTGGTAAGAGTTGTATGAGCCCCCAATAAAATGATTAAAAAATAATTCACATGACACAATTCAATCGTTCAATTATATTATGAAGAGTTGCACAATGAATTTTAGAACATTAAAAAAAAGTAGTATGGTATACAGAAAATTATCATTTTCTGTAAGAGTGTATTCACTTTAAAATTTTCTTTATTAATTTGAATAGATAGCATATGGATGAAAAAATAAGATTGTTTACTGTAGCGGTCATGATTGGTCTTTGCACATAATGGTCAGAAAACCTCTTCCATAGATATTGGCTCTTACACTAAAATATATAAAGCATTAGATGGAAGAAAACTAGGAATACGATACTCTTAAGGCAGGTAGAGTTCAGCACAGTTTCACAGGGCTGTCTCCCAAAGATCAATACTGGAGGAAAATTCCTGCAGGCTGCCGTAAAGGTTCAGAGACTTTTCTTGGAGGAGAAGCGTTTCTTCAAGATTACTTCTATTGTTCTGGGCAGGATTTAGATGATAGTACCTGAAAAAGCAAGCAAGCAAGCTTTTCTTTGGATCAGATGTCGATGACTTAAGAAATCATTTGCTTTCCTCCGTGCTTGTTTCCTTTTTAACCCTCCATGCTGGCCTAGCAGTGAGGGTTATTTAAAAGCCCTGCTACCAGAGCGGTGGTGCTAAACGGACAGAAGGCTTTTTCGTGCAAATCCGGGCAACACACGCAGACCGTTAGAGGGCGCTCTTTCACAACCTGCAGCGTCTGCTGTCAACACCGACCAAGAATCTGAAGCCCTATCAACTTGAGCGAATTCGTAAGAGGCTAGGATATATAAAAGGTTCGTGATACTAGACAGGGAATTTGGAAATTTACAGCTGAGATTATGAGGAAAACACCACTGTTGAAGAGGAAATCCAGAAATTTACATCTTGAATATGCCTAATACCTGGGAAAAATGCTTACCTCAGAAACGGCTTTCTGGGTATATTCTAAATGCCAGGCCCATTCTAAGTACTAGTCCCATGGTAGGGCGCGATACTCACCCTAACTTACTTCATTCTCACTACAGCTCTAGAAGGGTAGGGTCATGCCCTACCCTTCACAGGTTGGAACATCAAATTCTAAGGGGTAAATAACTTGCTTCAGGTTCAGATGGTGAGTCACTGGGAGAACCTGGGTTTGGAAACAGAGCTCTTCTTTCTAATCCTGGATTTGACATATTCTTTTCTTAATCACTTTGGGTAAATTCCAGGAGGATAAACATTTATGGCTGCTTTATCCACCGCAAAACTCTTAGTGCCTCGACCAGTATCTGGCATATCAGAATGGTTCATAAATATTGGTGAATGAAGAAAAATATGCACTATAAGTACACTTTGATAAGATACACGTAAGTCTCTGGGGCCAGACATCTATTTTTGATCTGTGAAGGTTTCAAAAGTTAATTTTACCTTTAAAAACTGTAAGAGACAGTTAATTCTGTCTGAATAACTCTAGTCATCTGTCTTTGATTTTTGTCTCTTTCTCAATAATTGTTCCAAGCTATGCACAAAAGATTATTGGGATCTTTGTCAAAATGAGTACAATGATACCAGCTGTATGTGATGTGTTGTATAACATTGGAGGGGCGATGGTGTTACATTAGAAACACAAACACCCTCCCACAAGAAACACCTGGTATTTCTCTGTATTTTAGTATGTAATATGGGATAGAGGGATTATATTAAGTCCTACAGATGTATTGTCCTAGTAGTTTTCAGCAAGGGACAGATATTTCATCTGCTTGCTACCAACTCCCTGGCCACTGCATGTCCTGACCTGGAAAGGCTAGGGTCTGGCTGCCACCGTTACACTCTTAGATCAGATTGAGGATTCTAATACAGGCAGAGGCAGGAGGCTGTTATTTGGCTATGACAAAGTAAGATCTGCTTTAACACCCATGGATAATTCCTAAATTTCCAGCTGAGGCTTTGACTCTAACAAGATTCGTTTTATTCTAGAACTTAAAGTAGGTTGAGAGTGGGGCTGCGCTCTTGTTAACTACATTAGAGTTGATTTGACTCATAGTGACCCTGTATACCAATGCATCTCCTTGAGTATATTCCCGTTTCTCATTGACCCTCCATTCTACTGAGCAAAGGCCCCCTCTCCCCACTCCCCCCTTTTCTAGGAACTGTTTCTCCTGATAACATTTTCAAAGTGTGTGAAGGAATTCCCACTATCCTTTCTTCTAAGGAGCATTCTGGTCATAATTCCTCCAAGACAAGCTTATTCTTCTGGTAAGTCATGGTACTTTCAATATTCTTTGCCAATAGTCTAATTCAAAAGATCTGTTCTGCTCTGGTCCTCCTTGTTCATTGTTCAGTTTTCACACACGGATGAGGCCATGTGAAGCATGATGACTTGCATCAGCTGCACTTTAGTTCTCTAAGTGATGGCTTTTCTGCTTAACACTTAAAAAAAAATCTGTTTATTGAGGGCTCATACAACTCTTATCCCAAGCCATACAGCCATCCATTGTGTCAAGCACATTTGTACATTCATTGCCCTCATCATTCTCAAAATATTTGCTCCCCACTTAAGCCCTTGGTATCAGTTCCTCATTTTTACCCCTCCCTCCCCAGTCCCTTTCCCTCATGAACCCTTGATCATTTATAAATTAGTATTATTTTGTCATGTCTGACACTGTCCGACGTCTCCCTTCACCCACTTTCCTGTTGAGAGGTCCTGGGTAGCAGATTTGTACAATTCTTGAGAAAAGCTGACTGCGTTCTTCGCTTTTGGCTTTCTAACCCCAGGTCTTTGCACATATTCCTCTAATGCTTTCATTTGTCTTCTTTTGCTGCCTTTTGAAATTTTCTTTCCGTTCTGTCATTTCATCATTTTTTCCACCTGATTTTCCACTTCCATTTTCTCTACGCTCAAGAGCAAATTTCAATGTCTCTTCTGATATCCAATTTGGTCTTTTCTTTTTTCCTTCCGTTTAAATAACCATTTGCTTTATTTATATGTGATGCTCGTGATGTCATCCTACAACTTATATAGCCTTCAGTCTTTCGGGTCGAATGTGTTCAATCTGTTCTTGAGGTAGTTGATGTATTCAAATGGAATATACTCAAAGCTATATTTTGGCTGGAGGACTTCGTTTTCTTCAGGTGTCCCTTGAACTTGCATACGCGTATGAACAATTGATGGTCTGTTGCACAGAGGACCCTTGACCTAGGTTGGGCTGATGATATTGAGTTTCTCCACTGTATTTCCCCATGATGTAGTCACTTCAAATCCTGTGTATTCTATATGACAAATCCACCTGTGTACTCACCGTTTAAGTTATTGAGAGAAGGCATCTGCAATGATGAAATCACTAGTATTGCAGAAGTCTGTGATCTGAGGTCAAGCATTGCTTTTAATAACCAAGACCCAATTTCCAACTACTGTTCCTACCTCTTTATTTCCAACTTTTTCATGCCAATTGCTAATAATCATCAAGGTACCTTGATTGCATGTTTCATCCATTTCAGGCTGAAAATCTTGGTAGAATTCTTCAATTTGTTTATCATTGGTTTTATTGGTTGATGAATAAATTTGAACAATGGTTATATTACTTGGTTTGTGATTCAAGCTAGATTTCAGAATGTTCCTTTTGATAATGAATAAGATGTCACTCCTCTGGAATTAGATATTCTAAGCATAGTAGGCCACATGATTATTTGATTCAAAATGGCCAATACCAGCACACTAAGATTTAAGATAATGGCCCCTTTGTGTTCCATTTCATTTTTGATGACTTCTAATTTTCTTAGATTCATACTGTATATGCTCCACATTCTAATTATTAATGGACATTTTCAGCTATTTTGTTCCATTTTGAGTCATGCTTCATCAGCAAGTGAAGGTCCTGAAAGCCTTCCTATATTCATGTCATGAAGGTGGACACTCCTTGGAGGAAGTGGCTCTTCCTAGTCATATTTTGAATGACTTCCAACCTGTAAGCCTCCTCTGTGAACCCTATATTAAACAACATTCCACAGCAAGTCTGATTAGTCTAGGAGCTCTGCTGAAACCTGTTCACCAAGGGAAATCTTGCTAGCATTTGAAATACCGGTGGCATAGCTTTTGCATCATGGCAACAGGAAAGCCATCACAGTACAACAAACTTACAGATGAATGGTGACAGGCTAATGCCAACTGTATATCGTTGGAGATGCAATTTCATAATTAATCAAGATCTTGGAGATAAGAATAACTTGGGATATTTCTGTTAGTGATGGTTATGCTATCAATATCTGTCTATGAGCAGGCAAACCTTTGGGCTTGGTGAAAATTGGATTGCAATTGGATGGGTTTTGAGATCTAATACCATTTGTTCACAAATAATAGGTTTCAAAAACACTATCCCTGGAACACTGTACTTTCTCTTATTTCTTTACATATTTGTTCATTATTATTTGACAATAAAAATCAATATATAAGTAAAACAATTCTGTACTTCTCATTGCAGAAATGGATTTTACTTCTCTGGTTATTATATGGTTTTCTGCCTAACAGTTGTGGTTTGACCCATCCAATTCCCATGGTCAAGAGCTACTCAAGACAATGTGTGGCCTTGCACTAATATAATTAATTCTAGATACTTAATTTCTGAAAGAAAAATTCTCAGGCTCTCCTTTCTTGTGACATGTGATACTTGTTTTTTTTATTGTAGAGTTGCTGAACAACAGGTAAAAGTGAATATTCATAGTTATTTAAAGAGACTTTCCCTCCAACTTACCAGAGGTAAGGAAGCATGAGAGAGCAGTTAGAAGGCTCCACTACAGGGCTTAAAAGGAGTGTGTCAGAGGAAACCAATGAATTTGAGTTGGAATCCTACTTGAATTTGGCTAATTTATTTAATTAGCTTTGCCCTAGATCTCATTTATCAAGTAGGACAATAAAAATCTCTGTAACGGGGATATGGTAGGAGTTGAAAGAAGTTATTTATGTGTATCTATTATGTTAAAAACACAAAACAAACAAAACAAAACTCATTGCCATTGAGATGACGCTGGCTCATCACGACCCTACAGGACAGGGTACAGCTGCCCCTGTGAGTTTCTGAGACTGTAACTCTTTACAGGAGTAGAAAACCCCCTAGTTTTCCCTGAGGAGTGGCTGGTGGATCAGAATTGCTGACCTTTCAGATGCAGCCCAACGGGTAACCACTCCACCATGAGGGCACCCTTTCTGAGATGTAGGGGTGCTCAAAACAAGTGGATTAATTTCTTCCCTTTCTACTTTGCTTCATCCACTTTTTTGCTTCCTTTGAAAGAATTTGGGAGAAAAGAAGATAGAAAATGAGGAATACTTGTTAAGAATCAGATTTATTTCTAAACAAACACTACCTCATCACTTTGTCTCTTCTTATCTCTGGTTTCTCCATTGTCTGATACTTTTCATTTTAAAATCTTATTCCTTGGGGGTGGCT